TCCCCCCTGCTCCGCCAGCCCCCGAGGGGGACCGGGGAAGAGGCACTACACTGCAGGCTGCCGTCTGCAGGCGCCATGCGCAGGGGGAAGGGCCAGGGGGCCGCTTTGTCTGCCCTCGAGGGCTCCGGGTGATAGGGATGGATGGGGCATGAAGCCTTCCCTCCCCCACAGCACCGGGCACCAGGGGATGCTCCCCCCTCCCAGCAACACCCCGGGGAAGGTGGGTGGCGAGCAGCCGACGAGGAGTCAGGCGTGTTCACGCCGGGCACCTGGTTCTAGCATGGCAACCTTCCACGCAGGGGCCAGAACCGTCCCACTTCCCCTTCCAGTCTCAAGGTTGGAGCAGGAGTGGGGAACCCTTTTTGGGTTGGGGTCCACTGACCCACAGAAAAAAAAGTTGGGGGCCACAGAAGTGAGAGGCAACCCTCCAAACCAAAAACACCTCAGGAAGCGTGTTCACGCCGGGCACCTGGTTCTAGCATGGCAACCTTCCACGCAGGGGCCAGAACCGTCCCACTTCCCCTTCCAGTCTCAAGGTTGGAGCAGGAGTGGGGAACCCTTTTTGGGTTGGGGTCCACTGACCCACAGAAAAAAAAGTTGGGGGCCACAGAAGTGAGAGGCAACCCTCCAAACCAAAAACACCTCAGGAATGTGGGCCTGAAATGAGAAACAGAATGATGCTCCCCACATTCTTCTCCCACACCAGAGCCCAGGGCTAGTAGACTTTGTGGGCCCCTCTATGTTGAGGGGGTGGATCAAACAAGGGGGAGGTTCAGTGAAGGGGAGGGGGCTGCCTGGAAGCAGGCTTGGGGTGGGGTGGTTGGTAGGTCTGGAAGGGTGCAGGAGCAGAGTAAGGGTGCATAACCAGGATGGGGTGCTGCAGGGCTGGAGGAAGCACCAGTTCTCCAATGTTGGGGGCTGGATCCAGGCAAGCTAGGGGCCAGATTCAGCCCCTAGGCGCCCCACCCCTTAGTAAAGTCTTGTAACAAACTGGCTCACCTACACAAATCCAGAGCAAATAATTGTGAAAGAAAAAAAAACAAAGAAACTAACCACTCACTGGATGACAATTTACAAATACAAAGGGAGACGTAATTCATGGTGTATCCAGTATATGCCCAGTTCTAACTACTCTTCCTTTTGTTAATAATGGTTCCTCTCTGGCTGTGTCTAGACTGGCATGATTTTGCAGAAATACTTTTAACGGAAAAGCTTTTTCCGTTAAAAATATTTCTGCAAAAGCGCGTCTAGATTGGCACGGATGCTTTTGCGCAAAAAGTGCTTTTGTGCAAAAGCATCCGTGGCCAGTCTAGATGCGATTTCGCACAAGAAAGGCCCAATCGCCATTTTAGCCTTTGGGGCTTTTTTGTGCAAAACAGTTCTTCCCTGTCTACACTGGCCCTCTTGCGCAAGTATTCTTGCGCAAGAGGGCTTTTTCCCGAGTGGGAGCGTGAAAGTATTTGCACAAGAAGCACTGATTTTGTTCATTACAAAGTCAGTGCTCTTGCGCAAATTCAAGCTGCCAGTGTAGACAGCTGGCAAGTTTTTGCGCAAAAGCGGTTGCTTTTGTGCAAAATCTTGCCAGTCTAGACACACCTTCTCTGTCTGGGAGAAGGGGAAACTTTTATAATTGGAGCATATTCTAGTAGAGATTGGAAGTCAGAACACCTGAATATTTTTTGCTCACGTCTCTACTACTCAACTCAATATATGCCTTTGAGTCCCTTGCCTCAGTGTAGCTCCCCATAAAATGGAGATATAGTAATACTGACTTGCAAAATTGCTATCACAAATGCAAGGTAAAACACAAAATCTACTCTGCCTTTACCATGATTATGAAGTGCAAAAATATAATTAGGAAGATCAAAAAAAAAGAATTTGAAGAACAGCTAACCAAAGACTCAAACAGTAATTAAAAAAAAGTAAAGTACATTAGAAGCAGGAAGTCTGCTAAACAACCAGTGGGACCATGGTTGATGCTAAAGGAGCACTTCAGGGTGATAACAAATCTGAGGAACTGGCTCAGATTGAAGTATCATTAGAGGAGATTTTGAAACAAATTGATAACTTAATTTAACAGTAATAACTCACCAGGACCAGATGGTATCCATCCAAGAGTTCTGAAGGAACACAAATGTGAAATTGCAGAACTGCTAACTCTGGTATGTAATATATTATTTAAATCAGCTTCTCTACCAGAAGATGGCTAATGTGGCGTCAGTTTTTTAAAAGGGCTCCAGAGGCGATTCTGGCAATTACTGGCAGGTTAGACTGACTTCAGTACTGGGCAAACTGAAACTATAGTAAAGAATAATATTGTCAGATGCATAGGTGTTAGGGAAAAGTCACCATGATTTTTGTAAAGGGAAATCATGCTTCACTAATCTACTAGAATTTTTTAAGGTCAACCAAACATGTGGACAAGGGAGATTCAGTGAATATAGTGTACTTAGAGTTCCAGAAAGCCTGAGACAAGATCCCTTACTAAAAGCTCTTAAGCAAAGTAAGCTGTCATGGGATAAGCGGGAAAGTCCTCTCATGAACTGATAACTGGATAAGAGATAGGAAACAAATGATAGGAATAGACAGTTTTCAGAATGGAGAGATGTAAATAGTGCTGTCACTCAAAGGTCTGTTTTAGCACCAGTCCTATTCAACATATTCATAAATTATTTGGAAAAAGGGGTAAACACTGAGGTGGCAAAATTCACAGATGATACAAAACTACTCAAGATAATTAAGTCAGACTGTGAACAGCTACAAGAGAACCTCTTAAAATTAGGGACTAATCAATAGAATGACAAAAGACATTTAATATTGATAATGCAAAGTAACGGATACTGAAAATATAATCCCAACTATAGATAAAAAATGATGAGGTCTAAATTAGCTGTTACCACTCAAGAAAAAGCTCTTGAAGTCATTGTGGATAGTTTTCTGAAAACATCCACTCAATATGCAGCAGCAGTCAAAAATCAAGCAGAATGTTGGCAATCATTAAGAAAGGGATAGATAATAGTACAAAAAATATATTGCCTCTATATAAATCCACGGTACACCCACATCTTGAATACTGTGTACAGATGTGATCAGCCCATCTCAAAAAAGATATATTGGAATTGGAAAAAGTTCAGAAAATGGCAGTAAAAATTAGGGGTATGGAACTGCTTCCATATGAAGAAAGAGTAATAAGATTGGGATGTTTCAGCTTGGAAAAGAGATGATTAATGGGGGATATGATTGAGGTCTATAAAATCATGTCTGGTATAGAGAGAGTAGATAAGGAAATGCTATTTACTCATAACACAAGAACTAGGAGTCATGACATTAATAGGCAGCAGCTTTAAAACAAACATAAAGTAGTATTTATTCTCAGAATGCACAGTCAACCTCTGGAACTCCTTGCCAGAGAATGATGTGAAGGCCAAGACTATAACAGAGTTCAAAAAACTAGATACATTCATGGAGATAGGTCCATCAATGGCTACCACAAGGTGTGCAGGTAAGGTGTCCCTAGCCTATCTTAAAAGGCTGTGTTTGGATGGGACATCAGTCTTTCTGGGCTCAGTTCATAGCAAAGATGCTCCTGAAGTGATGAACAGGAATGAAGACAAAGATGGAGGAATCCCAGGGGCCGTCTTTATACACTTGCCCATGAGGAAGGAATTCCATTGCTCTCACTTGATATATATCATGCCAATTCTTTTCCAGAATATGATCTGAGGAAGTGGGTCTGGCCTACGAACCCCATCACCTAATAAACCATCTTGTTAGTCTTTAAAGTGCTATATAGTTTTTCCTTTTGTTTTAGCAAGATCAGACTAACACGGCTACCTCTCTATTACTATCCCAAATTGGAGTTTGTTACTTGAGCAAGTCACCTGTCCATGCATGAGTCAGTTCTTTTTAAGCAAGCAGCTCTGGCTTACTTACTGGTCTTCAGATGTGGATTGGCACCACTTGAGGTGCATTGTCAGTGAAGTACTGCTATTTATTTGACTAGCAGCCTCTGTAGGTAGGCGAAGCCTGCTGATAATCTCCCAGAAGCAAACATGTGAAGTACAAGTACATAACCATTCACATCCCAAATGAGTATTGGCTAACTGGTAGGGGCTGGAGCAGCTCCCCACCCACCACAGGCAGGGAGCTGCTATAGCCTTGCAGGGCCCACCACATGGACCAGCTGCTCCAGCCAGCCAGAACTGTCCCTGTCTGTGGCAGGCCTAGTCCAGGTGGCATGCCACAGGCAGGAGCTGCTCTGACTTGCCGGAGCAACCTTTGTGCATGGTGGATGGGCCACTCCAGCTGGAGGGTGCTCCTGGTTGCTCCCCCCCTTCAATTAGGTAACTGGTTAAACATGTTTAGCCAGTTAACCAATTAAGTGGGATTTGACATCCCTAACACTCATAACTTCAAATGCAAAAAATGATACATGCATGAGTGGTATAAACAGAATCATCGAATCATAAGTCTCTAGTCATCCCACTTAGACCATTTGGCTCAAGAGTTGGTGCAAACATATCCCAGTGGTTGCAACAATGTTTGTATGTTCACATGAGAATTCAGTGTCACACCCTGTCCCAGCAGCTTTCAAAGATGGAGACATACTATTTTCTGATTTAGAAAATACATGTCAGGTTTGTCTTTCCTTTGACAGTGCCAGCACCATGTGCTGGTGGGGATGAGCAGACAGGATAATCATGTCAGTTTCCAACTGCAGGCAGGATTGTGTCATTTGTGCCCCTCTCCACTGGGATTTGCACTATGGCATTACAAGCATGGCCTCTTCAATGAGCACAGAGAATGGCCTCCCTGGGACTACTAGCAGCCCTTGTGAAAAATCACCACTCAGTATTTGAGGGAGGAAATGGTTCAACCAACCAATGGGCCAGTCATTTCTGCTTGTCTCTTATGGGAAGTGAAATGAGGAAAGCAGAAGTTCATTGTTCTCCAGCAAGACAATAATCCTATTGAGAGCTGTGGAACAAGGTACTGTAAAGCTGCGAGTCTCACTGAATCAGAGGGGTTTGTGCGCAATGAGCCTCCAGGCAACTTTCAGGAATAAAAGTAAGATGAATCTGTGTTCACATGCTATTAGTCTGCGGTAGATTTCTTTCTGATGGTGTTATATTCCCTGAGAACATCAGGTCTGACCTGAACTGTGTCATCAGAACCTCCCATTCTGTGTTATCAGAACCTCCACCAACTTCTGCAGGGTCAGTCGGGCACACTGGACTACCAAGACGCCCACCAATCCCACTGGGAACAGACAGTGATCTGCCACTCCCAGGATTGAACCTGTAGGTAATCACCACTTAAGACTTGCCTACATAGCAGGGGGAATGTATTTTATGGGGAAGTGATTTCTAAAGCACACCCATGTCTTGTGCATTAGTTGGTCCATGTAGACATGGTAGAACAGTAGAACTCCAATAGTCCAGCATCCAATAGTCCGGCACTCCTGATAGTCCGGCATCAAAATGGCAAGAGCCTAGTGAGTGAGCTTCAGCAAAAAACGAGTCACAAGGTAACAGCGGCAGCAGCTGAACTGAGCAAAAAGGGTAAAAAAAGGCTTAAAAAACCTAAAACATTACAGTATACTGTATACAGTATGTACAATAAAAAGTGTTAAGAACACTTTATATACAGTATATAATATATATATATAAAACCAGATTATAGTACCTCCTGATTGTCCGGCATATCTGATAATCCGGCACCACCTAGGTCCCATAGGTTCCAGATTATCGGAAGTCTACTGTACATTAAAGCGCACTAGGGAACCTTTAGTGCACACTCATAGGGCATGTCTAAACTATATCCCTCTTTCAAAAGAGGGATGTAAATTAGACAGATCGAAATGGCAAATGAAGCCAGGATTTGAATTTCCCGTGCTTCATTTGCATAATGGCGGCTGCGTGTTCTTTCAAAAACAGGTCTTTCGAAAGTGAAACTGCCATCTAGATGTGGTTCTTTCAAAAGAAAAAACCTTTTTCAAAAGATCCCGTAAACCTCAACGCGCGGCCACCATTATGCAAATGAAGTGCAGGAAATTCAAATCCTGGCTTCATTTGCCATTTCGATCTGTCTAATTTACATCCCTCTTTTGAAAGAGGGGTGTAGTCTAGACATAGCCATAGCATCTACATAGACCAGTTAATACGTAACATGTGAATGCACTTTAGAAATCATATGCTTGTAGCACACATTACCTTATGGTGTCAACAAGTGCTAAATTATGGAAATAGTATCTCAACAGACACAAATAGTGCCAAGCTTTTTACTGATTTAACCTCAGATTAAGAAGGCCACAGCACTGGATGAAGCACCGGGGAGCTGTGGCCCACAGAAACTCCTAATGAGCTTGTCACTTGAGGAACTTGGAGTATCCTACCTAGGGGCAAGGGATTGGCTGTCCTGTAATCAGTATGAATTCTCAAGTCAGTCAATATACAGGGTAAAATTCTGTTCTCTGTAGATTGGAACTATACGTTCATATTCTGGTCTCTCTGCAAAGGTGGATCTCCCATTGATCTCAGTGGTGTTCCACACATATAAGGCATGTCTACACTATGGAGAAAATTACCCTCCAGAGGTCGATCTTCTAGCATTCGATTTAACGAGTCTAATATAGACCTCTAAATTGAACACTGAGGGCAGCTGGTTCATGTGCTCCCATCGGCCTCGCCATGGTGGCTCAGTTTAAGGTAAGCCAATCCAGCTATGCTTTTTGCATAGCTGGATGGCATACCTTAAGATAACCTGCCTGGTGTAGTATATACCAGGCCATGCTGTGTGCAGAAAATAATTCAAAGATCAAAGTCCTTTCTAAGGGTTTGGCTACAGAAACATAAATTCAAAGTAACCAAATGTGTGAAACTGAAGTGGATTAATTAAACTGCATTAAACCCTGTATGAGCCCTGTCATTCAGAATTATTGTGACCTTTCTTCAGGAAGGCTCCTTCATTCTGAACAAGGGTGTTCACAAAAGAGTTTAATGTGGTTTAACTAATCCATTTCAAATTTGCATCTTCATTACATTTGGATTAGTGTCCCTGGATGACCCTTTGTAGAGAAGTCCTTAAGGCTTAGGGTATGCCTACACTACAAAATTAAGGTGTTTGTATAGCACAGATAGATATAGTAGTGAGGGCAGGTCATACGGGCTGGCAAACTCAGTACAAGCCTTTCCTGGGTACATGCTTTGGTTGCTAGTCTGTGATGAACATGCCCATGCTGCCTTGTCTTTGCTAAAATTGTTATCCATGTTAGCTAGATTAAAACCAGGCATACACTGTGACACCATCATCTGCAGGATATATTATCTGACCTGGGTATATTATCTTGATGAAACAGGATCTACCTCAATAATCTTATGAAACTAATTAGTATATTATCTTGATGAAACAGGATCTACCTCAATCTTATGAAACTAATTTTGTAGTCAGTAGGTTTTTCTAAACACTAAATATATCAGTGGTTTCAACTCCTTTTTATAATATCAAAAGAACTTGGCTCATTTTAAAGCTACAGTCAAGCAGATGAAATCTACATTTTGTGATTAGTCTTTTCTTTTAAATAAAATGAAAGAATCTAAAAATAGAAATTATTTGATGGTTATTTTTAATGGAAAAATAATTTCTGACTGACAATTCCCAGCAGTGTCTGTAGCCCAAATGCTGCAACACGTAGGCTAGTGCATGAAAACCTCAAAGTGACTAGAAACAGACGTGGAAGTGAAGATGTCTGTTTTCATGCCATATGTTTATTCAGGGTGGTGAATTTGAATTCTGAAATTCTGTCTTCATCATTTAGGTTATTAGTGACAGAGGCAAGGACACTTGTTATGCAAAGTTTGATTTCTGAACAACATAAATGCTTGGTTGAATGTCTGACTTGTATGCACGCTAAATGTAACCATTTATGCAAACTAGGAAATTACATATGCAACTAGATGACTGAATGTGCAGTTGCAATAGCATAGATGTAAAACTCTGATCGGGCAACGACTCACATTCTATACTGGAATAAAATACAGATTTGTGTACTATCAGGGCTTAAATGTAACTCAACTTCTTTAAACCCCAGGCCCATTATTTTTAGCCTCACATTTTTCTTTTAAATTAAACCTGATGTGAGCCTTCCAGGAAAGCATCCAGCAGCTAAGGCAAAGCCCAGATTACACTTCTAGTCAATGTAACTTCAGTAATAGACTAGTCATGTTATTGTATCGGTTGCACTGAAACCTTTTTAAACTGGGTATGTGAAAGAATTTCTGCACTGTATTTCATAGTCTAAAAATTGTTTTAAAATCTTGAACGTTACCACGCACTCATCTATAGATTAATAACCCAGCTTTAGAAATCATCCTTATTACTTTAAACCCCTTTGAGATTCCCCTGAAGATATCCTAAGAGATTTTCTCCTTCCCCGCACCCAGCAATAGGGAACAGCTGGGTCTATTTAAAATTGATTTTGATCTCTCCAAGCAGGATTTGATTTCTCCACACACTGAGGTTTTGCCTGAAGAGAGTGCACAATATAGCAGAAATTCGGAGACGTCAGCTGGCAGCTGGCGTGGCGAGAATCTAACAGAAAATGAGCAGCTCACTATGTGCCCACGGGCATAAGCATGAGACAGCAACACGGGCAAAGTGATTTTCGATATGACAGTGGTTGGAGTTTGCTGGCCATATGCAATTAAAACGGAATAAACCCCTCTTCTTGCTGAGCACTCTCACACAGATGGTCCCCAATGGGGTGCAGCAGCAGCAGCACTCATGTACAATAAGCTGCCTTTCCATTAATTCCTATTAATTGGGTATTTCAAGGGCTTCAGGCACCTTAAAAGGGTCAAGGCACCATAAAGGGACAGGAGGTGTTCATCACTTAAAAACAGACAATGCTGCTTTCTGAACAGGCTGCCGGCAGAGTGGTGCAGTGGCTGGATGCTCTGTTATGAAGAAATACTAGGATCCTCATCCACTCATTTCATTAGCCCTGATGTCACACTCTCTGTATCCCATCCTTTTTTCTTTTCTCTTCAAGCATCGGAGGAAGTGAGCTGTATCTCACAAAAGCTTGTGCCCTAATAAATGTGTTAGTTTTTAAAGTTCCAGCAGACTCTGTTGTTTTTGCTGAAACAAACACCGCGATCCCTCTGAAACCTAGGATCCTCTTTCTTCACATTGAAGTTAGCCCCTCCAGCATATACTCAATTCTCTCTCATTCACAGACATACTTTGCCAAAAAAAAAAAAAAAAAAAAAATCTATCTCCCTGAAATAATGGTCCCATTCCTGAAATTGTGCCTTTGTGGAACTCCGTTCAATTCACACAGGTCAGATTGCAGGATGGGGGCCTCTCTAGACATTTTGCAGTGAACTAGACCAGTGTTTCTCAACCTTTTTTTAAAATAAAGTACCCCTTTTTTAAAAAAAAAGTATAAGTACCCCCAGTACCTACAGTTTTCAGACACCCAAATTTTTTTCTACCATTACAACACATTTGTTTAAACAACTTAATCATAGTTGGGCAGACGATGAAATTTTGGGGTGTAAAAAGTACAAAAATAATAAAGCGCTGTAAAATTTAAAACAAATATCCAGTTTTCTCCAAATTTCAGTTGTGTTGACATACCCCCCAGACTTCGAGTACCCCTAAGGGTACTCATACCACCAATTGAGAAACACTGAACTAGACTAAGGCAAGGTCTATATTGGCAGAGAAAATTGATGCAAGATCACATAACTGGAGTTGTGTGAATTGCACATCTGGAGTAGATGTACCTTGCATCGATTTTCTGGGGAGGCCCCATAGCAGGTCTACAGGAGAAACTCTGTCAATTTCCCTTACTCCTCGTGACTGCAAGGAGTTCCGGGGTCAATGGGGGTGCCCTCTGTGTTCCATTTAACGGGCCTTACTAGACCTGCTAAATTGAACACTGGAAGATCAACCTCAGAGCATTTGATCTCTGCAGAAATTGTAGATGTGCCCTAAATATTTGGGATATATGAGGCCTTTTGTTTCTGTAGACCTAGATTAAAGCCGTTGCTTGTGTAAACAGGTGCATCTGCATTGAATTCACCAGAGTTACACCTGCTTCTGTCAACATTCATCTGTATGATCCTTGTCAGTCTAGTCCCTGCTAGATCTGTTTCTGCATCACAAAACTACTGTTTATTTGGGTTGACTGGCAAGTTTTCCTGAGGAACTGGGTAGGAATGGCAGGCCAGAATTGGGAGCACTTTACAACCCAACAAAATTCAGTCAGTCAACTTTTGTGAGCATTTGGGATTAC